ACTGGCTCTCTCAGAGAAATATGGCTTGTCCAAGACGCCATTGTTGATTGAATTGCTGTACCGCCCTTGGGACACTACCAAACACGGAACACTCGTTCGTCTGGATAGATAAGGTAGCATTGATCGTCCTGGTGCGACGAATACTATGTGTGCTATTGCAAAAGGTGGGTTCGCTTGTACAGACCAGACGAATAGAGGCCCGGATTCACGAGCGTTATTGAACCCGGCAGTGACGACAACAGGATACTGTACACAGGGCACTTCGCTAAGACCGCACTGTCTAGAGTGCCTGCAGAAGATCGCCGACGGACCGTCAAATGATGATCGAGACACCACCTCCATTGTTGGAACACGGCCTTTCTCGCAGTAGGCCCATTATGCGATGCTAAAAGGTGCTGTTAGTATGTTATGCCGCCTTGCGCTCATATACTTCCCCTCCCCTCTCTCTTGCTATCATATGATACACACATCATACGCCTAACGTGCCGAGCGAGGCAGCGTTGTTGGAACCAACAGAACAACGAGCGGGAATGAGACATCAACGACATACGAGTACTCGTACTGTAGTACTCTTGTGTGCAAACAAGGACGTCGTTTGTACTACTCCGGATGAGTAGCATTGGCCGAGGCTGTGGACAAAATCCTACATGGCCCGATGCATGGGGCCAAATTTGGGCATGAGTTGTTCCGAAAAAGAACTGCGGTGGGTTTGTTGCTCTACTCGCTCTCCAAGCGCTTGTTCACAATACGGGCACAAGTAGTTTGTGCTTGCCCTTTCGTTGACTGTGGCCAAAATGTCTTCTTCGATCCAGAGCGGCAAGTTGCGTGCACAGGCCATAGCGAATCTTTTGGACTGCCGACGACGAAACCCAGGCCCGCCACGCAGCATACTATCCACACCACCTCACAAGCAGCCTTCTTGACCAAGTTGTATCCTTATTGCCTCCAGGGGTCCCCACCCACATGCCAAGGAAGGTAAAAGCAACGAGGCAACCCTGGTCGCCGTGTGCTCGGGATAATTGTTGATTAATTAACCTTCTAAGGGATGAAGCAGGTGGGATTGTCAGCCGATCCCCTGCTATGGCACGGCTGGCTAGTCTTTGTAGTTTCTCTTGGTGCGCGCAAGTCCAAACAAGCATACCTGTACACGCACAAACAGAGAGGGCGCTGAGCTGGACATGTAGTTTGTATCTGTTCCCCATCAAGGGACAAAAAAAAGCGCGCAAAGTAGAGGCCTAGGGGTCATAGTCGAGGGCCTCTGCACGTTTCTGATGTGATTGCGCCGGATGGTGACCAGCGAATGGCCATAGCCCGCGCGAGCTTGGATCAATCATCCACGGGCATCGATCGGGAAATCAGTTCAATATCTCACTTGAAATGTTTCGGATGCGCTGATCCATGGCGCACCACTGTATGTGATAATCTGCAGTCGCTCCCACCCACATGGTTACACCACTGCTACCACCGGTTCCAATAATAACCAACCCCAGAAGGTCGGAATGCTTGCCGAGCTCATCCTTTTTAGTGCGCCGAAGACCCTGTCGAGAGATCCCTGAGGATATACACACGGCGACCCTTGTACTAATGTGACCGTAGGTTGCTGTTGCGATAGGCAGGGAACGCTTGTACATGTACGGGCAGAGGCCCGCAAATCATGGTACTTTTGGTTGTCTCAGCCGGCTCTTGCACGCACGCGGGCCTCAGAAGTACCAAGCAGCCAACAGAGCCAGTCAGTGTGGTTTTCAACGACCAACATACAGACAGTGTTTGGTCTCCGGCCAACGTGCCTCGCCATTTTTTTTAGGCAGATATCATGGGAGAGCCAACAATCACACAGACTTCCTTGCTGCTGTTGCTGGATGCTCTGCAGTTGCAACCAAACAAGGTAACGGGCAATGGAGCCGGCATGCAGGGAGCAGCCTCGGGGTCTTGCGATGTAACAGAGTGCCTGTTTTCCAAGGACAAGTGCTCAGTGCTGTACCGTACAGTATGCAAACCACGTTAGCATGGGGGGACTGCTCGAGGTAGGGAGCAATTGCATCACCGTACCGTAGGCAATCGCGTCGGCTTGTGAAATGTGAGATGGGCGGGTGCTCCGTGCGGACTCGATGCTTGTATGTGCGGAATTGCTGCGTGCCGTGGCTCAGCCAGGACGCCTTGGTCGATGCCGCTGCACATGCCGGCGGCAACCCCAAAGCCCTTTGTGTGGTTTGAGCCATCGAATCCTCGATCTGCCGGGCTGTAAGGGGGCAGTGGCACAGTGGCAGTGGGGTGAGCGTAGCCCAAGCACTGGCCGGCAAAGCGTCTCAAGGGCTATCGATTTGTAATGCGGTGGATATCGAGAAGAGCCTGCCAATGCCATGCGTCTGTGACGATTCGTCCTTGTGTTGGCCACGGCTAGTGGTCCAAGTACGAGATGTACGAGGGACAGAATTACGCGTACTCGTACTTGACCTGACACACACGAGTGAGTGAGATCGGCTCTCGTCAATCATTTTTTTTTTTCGTGTGTTCTTTTTTAGCTTCTGATGCCCTACCTGGTCTGGTCCATGCCTGCCTTGTTGCCGGCACTTGCCAGTATTTGACAATGCACATGTCATGTCATCCGTTTCCAGCGCATGGCAGTCTGTGCTGCCTGCTGCTCCTGCTACCTTGGGCACAGCATTGTTCAGCATGATTATGCACGAGCGAGCATACATGTACCTCAGCACCCAGGTGGTTAGTACCTGGTTAGTACCTGTAGAGCACCTTTATCTGCTTCCAGGCAAACAAATACATTCTGCAACCTGTCGTGCTGTACATAGTACGAGTACCTGTACTCCGCATGTTACAGGTTGGAGATGGTTCGTCTCCTGCCACCTTCTTCTTTTCGGCTAAAAGAAGCGCACAGCAGATTAAAACGATATTAAATTCAAATCCTGAACCTCTACTTGTACTAGCAGCATGCCGTGACATTCCACTGCCCTTTTGCATCCCCCAAACGCCTTTATCTCCGCAGTGTTCCGTCCCGTCTGCTGTCGCTTCGTTGCCTCCTGGAATTTCCTCAGGCTGCGGGAGTGACAGACTCAGTGAAAGGGTGTGTGCGGTGCGGCTGACTTGCGTCGCTTGCGCACCCCCTCCCAGCCACGGCAAAATTGTGGTGTGGGCGCAATCTGTTTCCGCGCGCGCCTGTGTTCTGCTGCTTCTTTTCTGCGCGAACCACGCCGCTTCGTCATGGCCCCGGTCAGCCATCAATCCATCTAGCGCCAGACCAGGATACCCCATTGAGTATCAAGACCGCATCTTCCCTGGACCGAGCTGGTCTTGGCCCTCGTACGCACGCCAGCCACAGTCGCAGAATCTCCTGGCCAGATGCGCAGAGGCGTTTGGGGGAGTGCCGATGCCAGACCGACGAAATCCAGCCTAGTCAGTTCTCTTAGTGACGCCGCAAAGAGTCGCGGAATCCTCCTTCCGGCAGTGCAGCGAACGAGTGCAGCGCGGTGCAGCGCAGCGCAGCGAAGCGCGACTGTGGCAGTCGTTGGACAGCGCCGGCAAGCAAGTGGCTTATGCTGTGAGACACTGCTGCTGGCATCTCCCCATCGGTCAGGCCAGGGCAGCTGCGTGAGGCTTATGGCCTTTGTTGATGATGCTAGCTAGGCAGCCAGGTCCTAGGCCTTCCACGCTGCTGTCATGGGCCATCAGCACCTGAGCATATCATCACGGCTCTGACCCCCAGGAAGCCCCCCATGATGGCATGACGACGACGGGTCCGTTCTCTGCTAGCAGAGCCAACGATGCGCTATATCAGATTATACCCTCGTATGGGCTCCATCCTCCTGGACAAATCTGCACCCATGGTCCCGGTCTGTAGGGCCGCGGCAACAACAGCAGAAGTGGATAACCACGCACGTGTGGCAAGGTGGGTTGCGACGCTCCATATCCATAAGTTCAGGTCCGGAGCGGCACTATCGAATGGTCCTTTTGGGGCTTCCTGGGCCATTTGGGACCCCCCCTCCGGTCACTTTTGACTCAAGACTGATACCGACCAACGACCTAGCTAATTAGGTAGATAGGTAGTTATTTGCCTTGTATCCACCCGGCAGCACCACAGGCGTGTGCTCGCCTAGGCTTTTTGTACGAATTCCGTTCTGTACAGGCCTCAGCCGTGTCCGGCTCATTGGTAACTGCCCTTGTTGGTCTCGTTTGGGGTTGCTTCGGTGTATCTGTTCCTTTTCTGCCGTTCACTTGACTGGGGCCCGTTGGCTCCTCTTTTCCAACCTTGCCTGTTCCTTGGGACTCTTTTTTTGTGGGCAGAGGTGGCTTAAATCTCAAAAGCCACTGATACCCTCCTCCGTCGCCTCTTCGCCCGCATCTTCCCCATCTTCTCCCCCAGATTCAACAAGTCGGTACTTACCGCTGGACTGTTGATGTCGACCTTCTTCTAAAAGATTGAGCCCTGCCCAACTCACATCTTTGATTCCTTCATGGCCCTTTCTGTCCCGATTCCCTGGCTGGAAGAAGTGTCATAGAAGACGCCACTCACCTGATCACTTACATCTCGGATTTGATTCACCCTACTCACTTGACCAGCAATCCTATTTTTGGGCCATTCACCCGTTGTTGGGTCTTTTAAGACTCCGCCACTCGCCCGCAAACTTCCTCTTCCCTTTTAAGCCTGTGGAACAATCCGGCTGAAGATTTTAATATCTGTTGGCCACTCCTCTCGTCGTTAGGCGCTCTTCTTTGTTTCTGGCCTCGCTTGTTCCTTGGACATGCAATTTTAGCAGCTGCTGTTTCCTTAAAAAGACAGTGATATATTCTCCTCAATGGGTGGACTACCAGCTCTAGAGTCTTTGCATCGAGCCCCCCCGCCGGATACTCCTCCTGAACTTGTAAGCCCAAGTGCAACGTCGTTTTCTTCAAGGTCATCGCCTTTGGAAGAACAAGCCGCCTGGGGCCCTCGCGCTCCGGTTCCTGTCGCTGCCGTTTCCATGTCACGCTATGGCAAGGCCTCCATCGATATGTCTGCCGAGGGCAATGCAGATGGTGGTCGGGGTCGACAGGAATCAGTTGGAACTTCGACTGCTGGACAACAGCTTCCTTCATTAAGCAGCCTCTTTGGTCCACCGTCATCTATGCGACCCCTCAACTCGCCACACACGGAACGCCCTGGGATTTACCCTTCGCCCTCTCCCTTAGACAGGCCACGACTCTCGTCGAGTGGAAATTTGTTGAGTTCCTATTTCCCACAGGCTATATCGCCTTCTCAGCCGCAATCGAGAAACCCCTACGAATTTGGATACAACTATCCCGAGAGACAGTCAGCTCACGCTTCGACATCTTCCCTTCCTGTGCCGCATTCGCCCGAATACCCAAGCCACGGCCACAGGGGTTCTGATGCCCGCTACGAACCCGAATTACCTCGGAAATGGTCCACCTATGGCGAGGATGGTAGGCAGGAGTATCCAGTGGGATCCCGCGACTCGTCGTATTTACAGGCTCAGGATAAGCTGAGACCTCAATTCCCCGGACCCAAAGACCCGTCTCACGACTACTCTGAACGGCGACTCAGCCAAGTGCATAGCTCGGATACCAACACACCCTCGACTTCAGCTACTGTAGTCTCTTCTGAGATTACCGTTTCTAAGGATGGGCTGGGTCCGAAAATCTGGACAGGCACCCACTTTCTTCCGAGATTTGTGCGCGCGGCAGAGGTGCCCGGCGAAGGAATGTGCTATTTCTACGACGATGGAAGCCACTGTAAAACCGTCATTGATGGTGAGGCGGTGAATGCTCACTGGGGTGTGACAAAAGCAGGTAAACCTCGCAAGCGACTGGCTATTGCATGCGTGACTTGTAGGGAGAAGAAGATCAAATGCGATCCCGACTATCCACGATGCGTCCAGTGCGAGAAATTTGGCCGTGTCTGCAAGTTCAAGAATGCGTAAGTTGAGGAACTTCACACATATAGACGCGCCTCCTTGGAGCCTTGCTTACAGTACTTTTAGACCCAGAGGAGGCAACAACACCTCGCCATCGACGTCTCCTGCCGAGCTCGATGACGGCCGACAGCTCGAAGCCGGTGACCTGCGGCGCTCAATCAGTGATGTAAGCTCTCCCGGATCGCCCCGAGCCGGAATGCACTCCGCCTCTCCAGACCGTGGATACAGCAAACGACTCAAGCTTGGCCCCGAGGCGTACATCCCTAACGGCGAACCACCCGCTTCGTTCAATCCTCGTATGGATTATTCTAATCCGCGAATCGCTGAACAGCCTCCCCCTGAGCCATCTCTAATTCCCGATGACGTTCTTGGCCGTGCTTGGAGGACAGATCCTTATGCCTCAACCCCCGACTTGATCACCAATGCTCTAACCAGGTTCTTCGCCAACGTTGACAATACCATGATCCTCCAATTCCTTCCCGAAGAAGCCTTCCAGCGCTGGGTCGTTTCCTCTCGTGGACAAAAAAGCCCCGAAGACTTGATGCTTTTATACAGCACTCTCGCTGTTGGCTCCGCGCTCTGCGGTGATCCTAAGCAAATTGCTTTTGAGTACGCTCAGGTGGCACACTATGCGCAAAAGATGACAGGGGTGCAGTGCCTGCAACTAGTGCAGAGCAGGATTCTTCTTGCCGTATACTATATTTCGACCTGCCGAACTCGAGAAGCCGATGAGTTGATCTCTTCCGCGGCTGCTAGCGCTGCATGTCTGCAATTGAGCCTGGAACTGGATCACTCCAGGGAGTCAACCATGGCTGTGTATCCTCTGGGGCTGAGCAGGACAGGCTATGCTGAAGCACGCAGGAGGACGCTTTGGTCTCTGTTCATTCTGGAGAGGCTTAGTGGGCTGTTCCCTGAGCGACCGGTAATGGTCAACGCGGAAGACATTTACACACGGCTCCCCACCGATCTTCATTGTTTCGAGAAGCAAATCGAGTCTCGTACGCGAAGTTTCGATCCATACGGGGGCCTTGCCAAGGCCGATGAGCGGTCGTCAGACGGCAGTGTCACCGCCTACTACATTGAAATAGTGCACATCTGGTCAGATTGCCAAGCAGCCATCTACAGAATGGCACTTAGACGAACGGCCACCGAGCAAGAGACCATGAAGCTGCAGGATCTCATCAAGAGAGCCAAGAATTGGTTTGCCTCTCTACCCCCTCGCCTGGCATTTGGAGGTGCAAACCTCGAATCGGCCGCTTTTACCAGAAGTACTGGCTCTTTCCTCAGTATGCATTTTCTTTATCATCATACCATGATCGAGTTGAACCGACATCGCCATGGAGCCGGCCAGCTACCTAAGGATGTCCAGTTGGGACATTCAGCCGAGTGCCGAGAGCATGCAGGCAGGGTTATTGAGATGCTAAATAGTCTGGACCGCATTTTGAGGGTCAGATCTGCATTGCTTACCATTCCTCCCCCGGCAATGGCTGTTGCTGTCACGGAAGCCGTTGATGTTTTGACTGCAACTGGGCCGATGACTGTCCTGGGAGACGTGATTGAGCGGGTTTTAATTGCAAAGTCCGCTATTGACAGGACAAAGAACGTCTGGGAGGCATCTTCAAAGGACCGTCTAGCTATTGATCGACGTCTACAAAAGCTGAATCGGATTCGCGAGCTAGGATCACGACCGCCGAGCCCCATTCAAGGCTATCGTTTGCTCCCACTTTCAGAAGATACGAAGGAGAAGGAGCTTAACCGCTGGCAGATCCTCGACCCCATAGAGCAAACTTTCCCAAAGGACATGGACATGATTTACGTTGGACTTGACTAAATCAAATCCATGTCCATCTAGGATTTCCAATGCCCTAGAAAAACGCGTTTCTTCTTCTTTATATATATTATTTTCTTTTGCGGCTTTTTTGGTTCTTTTACTCTTCTTTTGGATATGAGTTTGCCTTTGGAACTAGGAATATTTTAACGTGTTATGCATGGTTTAGCGTTTTTAGATCGCTGCTCGTTTGGGCATTTCAGGAGGCATCAAGATCAGGGCAACTTGAATCGGATGACATGGGCTGAGGAGTTTGGGCATTCGATGTGTCAAGGAGGCCTTGATAGCGAATCTGTATCCATATTGATTGGGAGTCTACAAAATCTGGGTGACGAGTGATGTTTAATGTATCTATGTATATATGAGGTAGATTTTTATCTCTGGTCAATGAGCAACAGGAACTGCTCCAGGTGGTTTCTTTCTGGCATTTGAATTCATGAGCTGTTGGACGAGTCACGTGTTGTATCATGTGATGCATTTTGTGTACATGTTCTCCCATCACTTCAATTCTTACATAAACTCCATTGAATGTACTCCATATAATCAACTACATTTGAGAATCAGGAATCGCTGCTGTGGGAAAACGTCCACCTCTTCCTTAACCCTTTCTCCTTTTTTTTTTGCCGCAGCGAATTGCTTCATCACGCTGTGGGTTTCTTGTTAAGCAAAGAATACAAAAAAGGAAACGGAGCAAGGAAGGGGTCTTCACTATGTCGTTCTAGGAGGAGCCCGTTCTTTTTTTCTTATTCAAGCTTTATGTTTTTGTTTCAACACCCTCCAATATTGCGGCCCCGGTTCTTTCGAGCATACGCCAATACAAAAACATGATGCGATGAGCCGTGGTGCTTTACACAATGACTTTCCCAGATAGGCCCGTGGCGCATCTTCTTGGCTCCAATGGTTCGTCTTTCCTACTCGCTCTCATTCATTTACTTTGGCACGGGGATTGTACAATGCTAATTTCATGCTTCAGGCGCCGTTCATGCCGTAGCTTATTCAGCTTCCCCTGGGAACTACATCCTTACCGGGTCGGCGGATCGTTCAATCCGGCTGTATAACCCTTTCCCCAGCACGTCTGTCCCTGAGATTCGTCCTAGCGCAAAGCCGGCTGTGCCGCAAGGGCGGCTGATTCAGACATATGCTGCGCACGGATACGAGGTGATGAGCCTTGCCGTCGCGTCTGACAATGAAAGCTTTGTGTCGGGGGGTGGGGACAGGGCTGTTTTCCTGTGGGATGTGAGCAGGGCGGTGACGACGAGGAGGTTTGGAGGCAATGCGCAAGGCCACTCGGCGCGGATCAACTGCGTGAGCTTTGCAGGTGCTGGAGACTCGTTGGTGGTGAGCGGCGGATTTGACACGACGGTGCGGCTGTGGGATGTGCGCAGCACGAGCTTCAAGCCTATACAGGTTCTGAGCGAGGCCAAGGACTCGGTGACGAGCTTGGCGGTGAGAGGACCGGAGGTTATCGCAGGGAGTGTGGACGGGAGGGTGAGGGGCTATGACGTGCGTATGGGAGCGTGTACTACGGATGTCATTGGCGCAAGCGTGGTGAGCCTTGATGTCACGAAGGATGGCAAGGCAATGCTGGTGGGCTCGTTGGACAGCAAGCTCAGGTTGATGGATCGCGACAACGGCACGTGTCTCCGGGCGTATTCAGATCCGCTGTGGAAGAACGAGGATCTGCGAGTGCAGTCGCTGTTGGGCGGTAGAGAGAAATACGTGGTAGCCGGAGACGAAATGGTTGGCGAGACAGATGCCAGCGGCTCGGGCAGGCTTTGGGCGTGGGATCTGCTGTCGGGCAAGGTGGTGGCCAAGGTGACGGTGCCGTGGGGGCCTCAAGGCTATGAGGCGAAGAAGTCGATTGGCAAAGACGGCAAGCCAAAGGTGCGGAACAATGTCATCAGCTGCATGGCATGGCGGGACGGAGGCTGGGGAGACCAGTTCTGCGTAGGAGGGACGTCTGGAGTGGTGACTGTTTTTGGGGCCCTATAGCGTATATACGACACATGCAATGACAACTACAGCGGTACTTTTATTTGCTTTCAATCGGACTTTATTCGTTTATTTCGTCCTCACTGAGGTGCTACTATCCGGATCATGATATAGTTGCTCTCCAAGTATACATAAGGTAGCCATAAAAGTAGCCACGCCAGCGCCCGACAACAACTGAGGCCAACGGTGGATGGAAGTCTGTCTTCCACCACAATACTTTACATGATAGAGTCATAGCAATATCATGTCAGAAAATCTTACATGTCTTGAATTTCCTGATACAACGTAGTGAAACCGCGTGTACCGAGCGCGCGAGGAGGTAGGTGAATGGTAAGTAGGGAGGGGTCATGGCCACATGTTTCATTCTCCCTTGTGTTGAATCTCTTCTCAGCCCATACCAGCATATTTGAACCAGTTGGGCCGACAATCTTCTCGATGGAGGAACGGCTCACCATCCGTCAGGCGGCCAGTAACACAGCCCTTACACTTGGGGGAGTTGGGACAATTGAAGAAGGGGATGTGCTGATAGCCAATGTCACGGAACCTGTAAAAAAGAAAAAGTGTGAGTAAGAATCGGTCAGCGGATGACTGCTTGAGAGGAGGACAAACCAGTGGATTTTGCTAGAATCTTCAAATAAACCCAGGGCAATGCTATGGACGGGTGCATCGCCCCACCGCTCGTAGAAGAAGCCTCCCGCACGGTCGAGGTGCTCGAAATAGTCCTCGTAAGCCTTGCTCCTCCAGAATTCCATGTCAGCAACCTCAAAGTTGCTCCAGAAGTGGCAGGTGGAGAAGCCCTGGGCCTCTCTGTTGTGCTGCGGCCGCCGAATGTCATCGACAACCCACCTGACGGCGCTGTGCTCGTGCAGGTAGTTTGGGTGATCGGCGATGAACTTGGCCGTCTGGGGCCACAGGGTGGGCAGCGTGTGCGGGTCGTCGTAGAGGGTGATTGTGAAGCCGTACGTCTTGTTGTTGTCCTGCATGTAGCGGAAGACGTCGTAGTCGACGTCGCAGAAGAAATGGACCTTGGGCTCGACACGCCAGTAGTAGCGGACGTCCTTGAGGGCGGGATGCTTGTAGAACATGCCACTGTTCCAGCGACACATCTGGTGGTAGGACATCATGTTGGCATACTGGACTCCGTTCTTTTTCAGCACGGCGGCTGACTCTTCGAAGATGTCGGGGTCGATCCATGAGGGCGCGTCCCAGTGTTCCTTGGGGATGAGCTCTGTGTTTTTTGCTGCTGGTTAGTCCACGACGAGCGGTGCTAGAGCTGGGAGAACAAGCAACATACCGTAGTTGCATGTGGCGTTGGTCGCTGCGCGTGTCTTCTTCTTGAACTCCTCCGAGAAGGGCTTGTCGTTGAAAAAGGTCCAGGGATAGTTGAATTTGCTGTTCCAGGTCCGCTCAAGATCTACCATGGATGCCACCATGTCGTCCACCTCTTCATTGCGGACGAGAGCTAGCAGCGTGGCGCTGACTCGATCGCTATCTTCGGCATCGGGCGCATACTTCGCAGATGTCCGTACAAGAGTTCCCTCGGGTTCGCCGGTAGCTACACAGCAGGCAGATGTGTTAGCAATCAAGCCAGCTTTCCTCCTGTTCAATCCTCAATCTGGTGGCAACTACTTACGATCCAAGTTGGGGTCGCGCTCAAAGTTAATGTACCGATCGCCCGGGCTGTTGTATCCAGACGAAGGCTTAAGGAGCTGATATAGGAAGAAGCACCACAAGACGAGGGCCAGGCCTGCTAGGGCTCGAACTGGCCGGGCAATAGCCATGATGTCGAGGTCGAGAGGAGGGATGATGATAGTCGTGATATGCCCGATAGCAAGGCTGCTGGGTTAATTGGCCATGGAGCGGTCTCTTTTCTTGTGCCGGAGTGAAGAGAGAAGAGGACTGGCGGCAAATTGAGGGCAACGGCCTATCCGATTTGGCCGGGCATCCAGTCGTCTCTGTGAAAGTCGCTATTCGAGCATCTCCAGCAATTGAAAGGGGCGCTGTGTCGCTTTATGCCGCCGGACGCTAAAAAATGCCCTGCCGATGAGAGGTTCAGACAGAAGATCCCTCCCCCACCGACGCGCTAGAGACGCGCTAGAGGGGCCCGTTAAGTGTCTTGCACTACCTAAAGCAAACCACTGGCTTCAGCGCATGCAAACAAGCTCCGAAGCTCTAAATATCACCCATCCATGGATCCCGCGATCCAATCCTGAGCATCCATATCCAGCCCCTGCATGGCCCTCGATTGTGTGTCTTAATGCGCTCCGGTTGGCGATCTCATTGCTGCTAAAGATGCCAACGACTGGAGATGGCCTACGCCGCACAACTTGGAGCCCTCACTGAGGAGCTCATCGAAGCTGCCACGGGCATTTCCAGCAAGGTGGGAGGGAGATCAAAGGGAGATGAACAAACGATCCGAGGGGCTGACCTTTTGAACTGCATTCCCAGACACGAACCAGGCGATACAAAGTCCTATACAATGCGACCTTGCAGAAAATAAAGTCGCAGGCATACCTCCGCACAAACCAATTCGACGTCTGGCACACTCTTGACGGGCTGGAAGAGCGCTTCCGCGTTAACAACCGAGATGATCTGGCCGACGAGTTCCGCGACAGCCTGGATAGGCTGGAAGAGCATGCCACCAAGTGGCACCCGGAGATATTGGCTCTGCTTCTAGGACTATCCGACCAGCCGACGTTCAAGACGAAGCTCAGCGATCTAGATGTTGTGCGACAGCGTGAGGAAGAGCAAGCGGAAACCTTCAGCTGGGAAGATGTCGCTCGGGAGGATGGCTGGGCTGAGGATGAGGGTCTCTGGCAGTCGATTGATTACGGACTTGATTCAGATGACGAGGTCATCGAAGAAGCGCCGGACGACGAAACGCTCATTGATGTGCCGGTATATCATACTTACGACGAGGATCTTAGCCTACATAAAAAGGGGAGAACTGCCACCGACTGCATCATCCAACCGGAGGACACAGAGTTGCTGAAAGCTCTTCAGGCGGCACAGCAATGGCGGACCGAAGTTCCTCAAAAAGACGACATTGGGACCGTCCAGAAGATTTCCATTCCAGAGACGCATATTGTCAGGGAAATCCTCTCCATGCTGCAGGGGTTGAAAACCTCCCTTTTCAACGAAAACACGGGCTTGCCAGAGCCCAATTTCCACATGCAGCACATCGCTTGGGAGACGTACAAGTCTGTGATACACAATATTGCAGAGTCTGGCTGGCGCATTCTGCTGCTCCGGAGATTTGTTAGCCATCCGCAGGCAATTCCGCATCTCCAAGCATTTCAAGACTGCATTGCAAAAAGGCTCCGAGATTTCGATACAAAGCTCTCGCAGATCGAGGCACGCTTTGCTGCTCCCACATCTGAAGTCATGTTCACCCTATTGTCCGTTCATGGGGAAATCTCGCCTTGGCTGCAGCCCCTGCTTGTGCTATCCAACATCATCGCTCAGATTCAGGAGACGTCCAGATCAGATACATTCCGGTACCTTGAGCTCCTGTACGATGAAACCACGCTGGCGCAGCTCAAAGATGACATGTCCACGTACAAGTTTCTTGCCCAGATCTTTCTCGACTGCTTTCAGGTCTACATTCGCCCAATTCGACATTGGATGGACGAAGGCCGTATTTCGTCGGAAAATGAAATCTTCTTCATTTTCGAAAGTCCCACAAAAGTGCCCATGAGCAATATATGGCAAGATCGATTCAAGCTCCGCCAAACAGCAGAGGGGACATTACACGCTCCAAAGTTTCTTAAGCCTGCCGCTCATCAGATATACAATGCCGGAAAGAACATTGTCGTGCTGCGGCTCCTAGGTCAATATGAGCTGGGTAGCTCGTTTCCCGTTGAGGAGCCATCTCTAGACTTTGAGCATGTCTGCCCGGAAGGACTCGGCCTGGCTACGTTCCCGGATCTCTTTGGTGCGGCTTTCAACCGATGGATCCAAAGCAAGTACCGAAAAACTTCCACCACATTGAAGGATACTCTTTTCGAGATGTGCGAGCTCTCCTCGTCATTAGATGCACTACAAGCGCTATATCTCATGTCAGACGGGTTTGCCGCTGCATCTTTTACAGATCACTTGTTCGACAAGCTGGAAAACCTGAACCCAGTCTGGTATGATCGATTTGCTCTTGCCGGAACAGCCCAAGATGCGTTTATGCCGCTAGTTGATATAAGTCGTCTATCTGTGAGTGTCAGTGTTCAAGGCACCCGCATGACTGTGACGGATGCCCGAGGCTCAATACGAGCCGCTCTACCGCATCTCAAGATCGACTATAGGCTTGCATGGCCGGTCCAGATTGTTGTCTCCGAAGAGAGCATGAGGAACTATCAATCCATTTTCACACTGCTCTTGCAGCTCCGACGAGCCATTCACGTTCTCCACAAACCCAAGCTCCTTGATAACTACACGACCGATAACGAAAACTGGGACGAGCGTGTTTTGTTCTATGCCGCTCGCAGAAATTTGCTATGGTTTTGCACGACTCTTCAATCATATCTAGCAACACTCGTTCTGGAACCCAATGAGCGGGGAATGCGGCGTGAGCTCATGGCGGCTGAAGATGTTGACTCCATGATTTCGGTGCATGCCACATACCTGGAGCAAATGATTGAACAAGCCTGCCTAGGAAATAAGATGGCGCTTATTCGAGAGCGCATGCTCGACATCTTGGATCTTGCTCTCAAGTTGGAACTGGCCAGAGAGGGGAAAGCTGCAAGGGATGGGTCCGAGCCGTCTCACCTGTTTAGACAAGAAGATGAGAGCAGCGAGGGGGTAGTAAGAGAGGATGGGCTCGATACCGAGGCTTACATACGCGTGCTAGAAGAGATCAAGGCCGAATTTGATGAGCATTTAAGCTTTATCTGCTCGGGACTGAAAGGCGCTGCGAGAGCCTCAAGCGATACTCAATCTGCGAAGTGGGATATTCTGGCAGACATGCTACGAGCAGGCGACAACAGAAGCAGGAGATGATGGGATATAGTATTGGCAGAGCGGCAGATGATGGGACGGTTAGTAGAAAGATACCCTTTTAGATAATATTTGTCCAATGGACAGCCTATTCCAGAAGAAGCCACAATACATGTCTTCTTTCTTTATTAATTGCTTATTCCATTTTTTTTTTATATTTTTTTTTTTTCAGCTTTCATCGCTCTCTATGTGAAGCCCTTGTTCAGTTGGTCCGCGATGAATTTCATAATGGGAAACATTTCGTCTCTGTCCCTCGGCATAGCCACTTCCTTTCTCTTCCAGTTCACGACCCTTACATCCTTAAACTCCCTCTTGACGGCGTCTGCCTCGTCCTCATCCAGCTGGCACACCAGCACGGGAGTATTGCTCTTTTCTCGGCTGCTCAACGAGGGAACCATGGACTGCGGCAGCGGTCCACCAATCGAAACGACACCCTTGCACGTCTTTCCGATCTTCCCCCTCGTCGCTTCGTCACCATCCGAGATGTCGACTATACGCTCTACACTTCGCAGTCGGGAAGCCAATCCCAGCGCCAAGGAAGCGCCCTGCCCGAAGCCGAAAAGCAGGATGTCGTTCATCTCCCACCCGCACCGGTCAATCAGCGTGTCCTTGACGAGCTTCTGCATGACCAACCGCGCGGCCTTGTCGAAGCCCGGGTCGGAGTCCAATTCGCCCGTGTTAGTATCGACGCTGAGGTCATCACCCCAATGGAAATGCTGCTGGTCTCCGGCGCCGGGGAGGAAGGCTGCTGGGAGGGGGGCAGTGCCGCGAACGGAGATTGCGAGGACGCCGGGGAGGGACATGTTGCGGGCGAATGTGGCGAAGGGGGATTCGTGGTCGCCGAGGCCGTGGAAGAGGATGAGGATGGAGGTTGTTGATTCGGGCGGGGAGGGGAAATGGAGTTTGTGGGGGAGGACGGAGGAGATGGGGGAGAAGTCTGCTTCCGTGGGGATTCTTGGAGGAGGCATGGTGAAGAGAAGATGATTTTCTTTTGTATTATTGTTTGATGGTTGTGATGTTGTTGCTGTGGTGGTGTTGCTGGGTTTGAATGCTCTCAGATGAATTGAGGATCGAGACGGTCGGAGCGGCTTTTGACAAAGCTCGCGAATGAGATGTAAGTACGCGGCTGAATATTTGGCTCAATCAATCTGACGCTGAATTTCTTTCATGTATACGCGAAGAAATCAATATTTCACCAGATATTCTTGACGTTGTTTGGTAATAAGATCAAGATGCTGATGAAATCTAGAGCGGCAGGTCGCCAAGGCATTCACGGAGCGGAGCATTGTCCCGGCGCCGGGGGGATCCACCATGCAATTGATTAAACGGTTCAAGACCCGACAAGACAGAATCAACCATCCATGGTATTTCTCTAGAGACTACTTCTATACAACCTACGACATATATATCAAACCGCAGGCAAGCTCGAGGTATCCAATATAAACAAAACATCAAACGCAAACAAGGGAAATCATCGTCGAACCATGTGCTCCTGCGAGTCCCTGGCCTTGACCCTGGACGGCCCAGCCTTCATCTGCGTCCACTCGCCTTCCGCAGACCAAATGCCGGCCTTGGTATAATCTCCGCTCGAGCTTCCCAGCATGTATGCAAATCTAAAATACTCCGGCATACCTAGCGTGCCGTTTCTAGACCAAATGAAGCTGTCTTGTCGGTCGATGATGTCGTCGAAATAGCCCCGGAAGCGCTCTACGTCGTTAACAAGAATGCTGATGCCGTCGTAGATGTTGCTCGGCGGCTGGTTCCAAGTGAATGTGATGTTGGATGGGCTATGCGGACCCTCCCCGATGTATATGACGGGCTGGGGGATGATCGGGAGAAGTGATCCCTTTTGTGCGTCTCCCTGAAGCGCTGCAGGCGTTTCCAGTACGGGATCGAAGCCCCAGCGGGCAATGCCGTTGATAAAGAGCCCGATCAGGAGGCCCTGATAGAGCAACGCCGGCCGAGTCTGTAGACTTGTGCCGGGCAACAGCAGCAGCGCCAGGATGTAGTGGTGGAGGCGCAGTGAAAGTCCAGGGAGGGTCAAAGAGATGAGGATGCTGAAGATAAACAAGGCGTACAGCTTAATGTATGGGATAAATCGGCCCTCTTGTCTAAAATAAAATACTTGCGAGAGGATGATGAAAAACAGGATGATGACAATGGTGGCCAGAGCCGCTCTTGCTCCAGGCTGCTGATCAAGATCATGCTTATTGAGGCGTTGGATGGGGATAAAATCCAACGTGTAGTTGGTGAGAGCGCCAACCCAGCAGGCGCCCAACCAGAGGACAGTCTTTTCGATCTGCGCAGTCAGATGCTTCAGCGTGCGGCGGACGCCCATCTTGTCGTACATGACCCATGCGCAGAACATGGCAGGAAGAAACTTGCCCAGGATGTTGGAAAACAGATCCGTCACTGTGGAATGCCCCGGCTGGTCGAGGGACATGCCGACTGCAAAGAACATGCCGGTAAACGTGGGGAAGAAGAAGAGAGCAGGCGAGGTGGTGAAGAGCGACAAGACGCCCGTGAAGACGGTTGAAACAGCCAGGATGGACCATCGCTCGTCCTTGGCCTTGCATTTGATGTCGGGTACGAATCGGAACGACAGAGGGAAGTAGGAGTCGAAGCCGATGCTCGTGATGCCGTGTCGCTGGGAGCTGACGAATTCTTGGTACTGGCCAACGAGCTCGACAACGCCACAGCCTCCCTTGCCATTGGGGAAGAGGCCCGCGTGAATTGCCGAAGCGCAAATGTATGAGTCGCCGCGATAGGTGGCCAGCTCGGGATTGACGTCGCTGGATGGGCCTCCAATAACCATTGGCCGGTAAATCACCTCCTGGTCGCCAACAGCCCTCGGGTTGAGGACGTGATAGCTTTCGCACGAGGCTGGGCACTGGAAGGCAAAGCCGCTGCCATTGAACGGCCTGCAATCGTTTCCGTCCAAGCCGCATCCATTGCCCGCGCTCCAATATGTGTCACCGCAGCTAATCGGCTGCAACTGGCCCCATCCCTCGACCGTAGAGGCAATCGTCTCCTGGCGCTTGACAAGCACAAACGTAATGATCCATATGGAAAAGTAAAGAAAGATGGCCCAGAGGCGATAGGCCTTGGGCAGGAATCGCTCGACGAGATACAGCGGATACTCTTGCACGGCCGGGAACAATGGCTTGATGCGATACGGGTGCGGGTTGGGCGGGCCCTTTGCCCATTTGCCAAAGGCCGTCAGGACGCGGCGGACCGGATAGGGAATCTTCTTCCAGCGCTTGGACGAGCGCTCGTCCTGGATGAAGCGCGGGGTGGGCGCATTGCCGTCGCTGCTGCTGTTGTCGTCGATGACCTCGAGCGTCGTCGTTTCGCGACCGGCCGTAGCGGCCTGGACGGGGATCTCCAGCGGCGCATCGGGATGGTCAATCTCTATGACAGTGCTGGACTCAGCGCCAGCGCCGGTGCCGGAATCGTTTCGCTCCGGGTCGTCCTTCATGAGTGGCTCCGTCTCATCGTGATATGGCTCGAGAGGTCTCACCATGGCTGAGGAAAAAGACGAGCACAAGATCTTGGTTGGCAAGTGTCGACTGAATGGGCCAGGGCACGGGGGATTTGCCTGTAACGTAAGCTTGCAGCGGCAAAAGGACTTTGAATAGACCAAAAGGTCAATCCGCCAGCCACTAAAACGGATCCCAAACGCGGCCGCTCAGCCTCTAAATACGGGGGGATCTGGTGGGTCGCCGGAAGCTCGGGAGGTTTGGAGATGGAGGATGCAAAGACGGAGTAAGCGGCACGCGGCTGGGCTTATGGGGTGTGATTGGATGAAGATGTCTTGTCGACTTGGGATATCACGCGCTACTGAGGTCTTTTAACCATCACGAATGGCAGATCTCTAGGGATGATCGTGTCTGAGGTTGCAGATGCTATTGAGCAGTGTCCAGCAGACACAAGGCGCAGACGACGCTCTTGATTCGGTCTTTTTTTAAGTTGCATTCGATGGTTGACGGATGCGTTCATGCAGATAGATTGATGGCTGGCTTCAATATATTCGGGCTCGCGGAGATAAAGGAGAGAAGCAAGCGGTTACGAGTACATGCATCCACATGGCTACATGGATACGAAGTCTCTCTCGGCAAATGCTCTGGCTTCATCTCGCTACTAGAAGCCATCCGGCCGGCATTTGATTCATACTTTCTGCTCCATTTATATCATTTTGAGCGAAGGGGCCCCATCAGGATTCGAGATTTACACGCAATGGCCGCAAGAGGTCAAGCGCTGTGCTAAACGTCGGGCGAACACCGGCAAAAGATAAGGCGGAATGCGTCTTATCGGTCAGGCACCGCACTGCAGCAAGGATGAATCGTAGAATATGGGCCATGATATGAGCATTCGCAGAAAGATTGTGTGATTCGCTATTCGCCAGCATCTCTCGTTCGGGCGTTTGACGCATAGACTGTAAAGTTGACGAGGCTTCCTGGACAAGGCGCATCGTGACTTTTTTCTCATATACATTTTCCTTCATAGATTCCCTTTGCAGTTCATTTTTTTCTTCTTCATTTTTCACTCCCAACCCTAGAGTTGTGTGGCAACTCAAAATGAGCGATCCCAGTCTTGAGAATTCTTCCGACATGTCTGGCCGCAAGATCTTTGAGCTCATAAGCTCTGCTGCCGCCGATGGATCTGCAGCACGGCTTGGAAAGTTGTCTCTTCCCGGCAAAAAGGTCATCGAAACACCAAACTTTTTCGCAGTCACATCTCGCGGGGCAGTGCCTCATCTCACTCCCGATAACCTGAAGAGACACACATCTGTAAGCGGCTTTTACATGGCGCTGGAAGACTGTAAGTCATCAAGGATACATTTATCTATAAAGCGGTCGTTTTCTGATTGCGGGCGGTAGTTATTGAGAAAAAGGAGCCTCCCATTCTGCAAACTCCTGGAGGGGAGGGTTCACGTCGACTACACAGATTTACAGCCCTGCCGTCAAACACCGTAACGATGCTTGGTCCGCGACGAAACCCGGCGGTTACAACTCCGTTTGGGAACACGCCCAAGGCTCTCGCCGTCTTTACTTCCACCGGCTTTCGCAATGTGACGGTGCCTGAGTTTACGACTACTGTCCAGGCGCTGCAGCCTGATATCGTGCTGCCAATGGCCGACTTGCCTCACACCAGTGCGACACCCTCGTCTAAGAAGCTGGTGAGAATGGTGGAACGGACGGAAGTGTGGCTGGACGAGTTCTTGGACAGGCTGGCCTCGTCCAAGTCTACGGCTTCTTTGGATAGCTCTGTGTTTGCTCCAATGCTTCCAGTCGAGTATCCTATCCAGTGGGACTATCTTAGACATCTATCAGAGGATGTGCTTGACAAATTAGATGGCCTGGCGGTTTACGATGCAAATCTGCTTCCCGAACTTGTCAACTACCCTCCTCTGACTCCGCTTCCCAAGTTATGCATGGAATCTCCAAAGACCCCGCAGGAGGTCTTGCGTCAGGTTTCCCTTGGTATCGATATCTGTGCAATGTCATTTGCAAATAGCACTTCTGACGCTGGCGTCGCCATGACATTTTCTTTCCCACCGCCTAGTGTTGATGAGGTACGGCCTCTCGGAACCAACATGTGGTCTCCAGAACACAGTACAGCTGTTGTGCCCCTGGTAGAAGGCTGTCAATGCTATACTTGCTCGAAACACCACAGAGCCTACCTCCACCACCTGCTCAATGCAAAGGAGATGTTGGGCTGGAATCTCCTGCAGATCCACAACCATCACGTCATTAACGAATTCTTCGCAGGCATTCGCGAGGCTCTCACCAAAGGACAGGCGGTATTCGAGGAAGAAGCGCGTCGCTTTACTGCTTCATACGAGCCTGTGTTTCCCGAAGGCACTGGCGCAAGGCCTAGGGCAAGGGGATACCACTTTAAGAGCGAGGCTAGCTCAGATAGGATCAACAAACCGGCTTGGATAGATTTAGATAAGGAGGCGGCATCTGCACAGATTACGAGTCTCGCTGAAAGCAGTACACCTAGTGGGGAGAGTCAAGATGCTACGCCGGTGGCGGTGGTTAATGTGGAAGAAGCTGTTGCAACGTTGAGTATAAATTAGCATGAATAGACGCGAGATGAGATGAATATATAGAAAAAGAAAAGAGAATAAGGCCTTTATGGACTATATGATTTCTGGTGACTTGTTGAATAGAAATGTCTAGATGAGCTTGAATGGATATATTTCATATTTGGCCATCTAATCACAGAGTATTCATGTTCTTCTATAGAGCTAGTTTGACTTTGGATTGCTGTTGCTATGCCGCTACCACCACCCATCGTCGTCACTGAATTCAGTGGCGATGCCAAGGTTGTGAATGACACGATGAACGGTAGTAGAATCACGCTCCGAATCAATCCACACAGCACCAATCAGCGCCTCTGCAGTAGAAGCGCATATGCCTTGAGATATGGTGCCATTTTGACATGGTGGCAGCTTGACATATTTGTATATTTTCCGCTTCACCAAAGTCCTACTCAAGACATAGTTTGAGGCTTCCACCCTGCAGATTTGCTCGCATTTTTCTACGGGCTGAAATCAGCTTTCGCGTTTTCTAACATAGACGGAGGTTCTGGCAAGATTATCCATGCATAGATGGGAAGCTCACGCGTGGTTTTGCCGTTGATGATGCCGTCGTCGACTATGACAAGTCGGAGGACGGCGTCTCCGATCATTGCCAGACCCTTGTTTCCATGGGCCCTGGGATTTTCGCGCGTAGTGTTTGGGTTTGAGCCTGCGGCGTGGAGAGCTTCCTCGAGAAGCCTTGGGTTTCGAAATTTGTACTGTAGGATGTCTTGGACGGGTTGGTAAGCCATGCCGGGAGAGAAGCTGATGAATACACTCAATTTTGTTTCTTTCTACAGTGTTATGCCTTTTCTCTTTTTATGTTCGATTGCTCTGCATTCCAGAGAGATGGAGAAGAAATATTTCCGAAAGAGGAAGCATTCCAGCTCCCTCCAACTAACAGAGCAGTGTATGCTGTATATCCGTGGATTACTGTATTTTGACGTCAGCAAAACCTTCAATTCCTACCTAGGTACCTACCTACCTAGGTACCTAGGTAACTAATCGTTTGTTAGAAACTGATGCCTTCAATTGGCTTTTACAACAGCTATCGGCATATGTCCAATTAGCCGACACGATATGCTGGAGATAGACAAAATATGGCGAGTAATCGCGATATGCCGAGTACTGTAGTGTTGCTGAAATAACAGCAAATTATCCATCAAGCTGGGTTCGCTGGGTGTTATAACGATTAAGATAGGTACCAGACATCAATCAAGAGCTGGCGTTGTACCTATTGCTGGTAGGTGGTAGTGAGAATGGATGCTCCTGCCCTGCCTTGCTTCCCATTCTACCTACCTACCTATATTTGGTCCAGGTGCCCGGGCTTAAGTAAGCTGTGATTACTATTTCGGTTCGCATGCTTCTATTCCTGCCTCAGGTATGGAGGTGCTCAGGAAACAGCCTGGAAATGATTAAAACAACACGACGATAGTCACCACGGGGCCTGGATCATATGCCTAAAAGGCAGCTGACGGGGCCCTGGCGGAAAAGAACGCGGTCCGAATTAAGCTTCATCCAAGGTTAATCATCAACACTATCGACTGATAGACCGAGCTGACGAGTGAGTCTGCGTGGGCCCAATTCAGAGTCGACATACTCGTACGCAGCGTCGGTCAACGGATTGAGAAGAGGTTGGCCTCTAGTTCGACTTGACGTGGGCCATTTGTCACTGCTGCCCACTTAAACCGGCCTCGTTGGACGTATCGGTATCGTCCGTTGCGTGAGAGCGCAGCGCACCGACCGAGAGGCTGTTCAGCTCTGGATGCCGTGCAACCTTGCGACATGCCAGCCGGGATGCGCTGACCCCAGATCCGTCTCTCATGGTGACGGTATTTTTGGCCGGCCATGTTCATCTATCACAAGGACAGAGAAATGGGTCAATAGTACGAGGAAACCCTACAAGATCACGGAGTACAGCAAGGCAACCCTCTTCAAATCGGATCTTCATTCTGGTCTTATACTGTGGGAGCAACGGCCACCCACCTATTAAGAAAATAATAAGAAATAAGCATAACAATAACAGAAAAACCAAGCTTGCCTAGTCTAATCCTAGTACTACCACCTCAGATGGCTGCCGGTGCCTGTCGGCTTGCGGAGTCTGCGAACTTTTGAATTGTCGAATCGCAGGGCAAACACGAGCCAGGGCCAGCTCCAAGCGCCCAATGAAATCATGGCTTCAACCCACGGGACGAGCGCCAAGATCGACGAACCTTCGGCTGCAGACGAAAGTCCCTTGGAAGCCGTGAGCTAACAACTTTGACGGGCGAGGTTATGAAGACTGCACGGCTGCATTTTCTCCACGACTGGCATCATTCCGGCGGACGAGATCGGGAAAAGCCAAGCTGGGACCTGGATTTTGCGAGCAAACGCCAAGAGCCACGAGCATCGCCACTTATTTCAGGGTCGACCTCGGGCTCTTCATTCTACCATCGATACGACACGTGCCGGTGTGCTCGACAGTAAGGGGCCTGCTTCTTGTGTCGCCACGGTGCTTGGCATCGCGATGGAAGAAGCATGGTTACAAGCACACCCAGGTCGACAGCAAGCATCCGCAATTTGCTACCTGCATTTTCCCCCACGCGGAAAAAGGGCCCAATTGAGCCAATGGAGTATCACAGAGCGATGGATGCTACCTCACATTTTCGAGTCTTCGCCCATGGCCTATGGTTCTAGCCCAGACGCCATGGATTGGATATGCAGGGATGATGATACCTCCCGACGAGGTTGACGAGGTGCCTTGCATCCCTCTCCATCTGTTCAACGTGGGCAATGCTGCACACGGTCAGGGAGGTTACCGGAAGTGGCCGCTAGCTGCAACATTTTGCGTTGCTCGGCATGGTCATCACGCGAGGACCGGATTTTCCGTTGCATCTGTATATAAAGGGCCCGCGAGCCTTGCCATGCCGCTCCTCTTGTTGCCCTCCCAGCTGCCCTGCAGTCATTGCACTCCTCAATTCGTTGTATAGTCTTGGATAGCTGCCACTGCCCAAGATGATTGCCAAGATTGGAGTTGCCAGCCTCCTCGCAGCCTCGCTGTCGGCCGTCTCGGCCCAGACCTTCCAGCGCCTGGGAACATGCCCGACTCTGGGATGTCTTCTGCCTCCTGACCAGAGCGACTTCCTCCCCGGCCAGCTGTTCGACCTGCGTGTCGAGGTTCACGCTCCCGTCAACGGCTCTGAGGCTGCCCACAACGGCAAGCCTGATGAGAAGTTCAAGGTGACCATTGCCAAAGACGGCGGCAGGGCCAAGGACTTTGCCGATGCCTTTAACCTCAAGGAGCCTGCGCTTGAGAAGTGGACGTTCAACTGGTATGAGGACCTTTTTGCCCAAGATGCCAAAAAGCCCTCTGTTGTCAACGTTGCCTCCAAGGCCTACCGTAAGATTGCCCTGTACGAGCCGGGCACTTACACCGTCACCTTGAACTACTACAATGGCGAGAAGACCACCGCCAAGTGGGTTGTTCGCGACCTTCACACCAAGAAGAGGGCCAAGAACGTCATCTTCTTCATTGGTGATGGCATGACCACCAACATGGTACGTTCCAATTGAGCTATGAAAACCCTGGTTTCCCAATGCTGACCATTGATGTTGGCTAGATCACCGCCGCTCGTCTCCTTGGACACCAGAGCATCAACGGCAAATACCAGACTCGTCTGCAGCTTGACGACTTCCCCGTCCTGGGTCACCAGATGACCCACTCCATCGACAGCTACATCACTGACTCTGCTAACTCGGCCTCTGCTCTCTACTCTGGCCACAAGAGCACTGTCAACGCCATGGGGTACAGTGTTCCTAGCGAGAAAAAAGGTTCATGTGTGATGGAAAGCTAACCAGCATGTTTAGTGTCCACGCTGATTCTTCTCCTAACGCCTTCGATGACCCCAAGGTTGAGACCATTGTCGAGATCTTCCGCCGTGTACGCGTAAGTATAGCATACTTAGCCCCAAGATGGCAAGCAATTGGCTAACACCCTGCTTCAGAAAGGTGTTTGGGGCGCCGTCTCTACCGCTTTTCTTGCCGATGCCACTCCCATTGCTCTCAGCGGCCACACCCGTCGCCGCAGCGAGTACGGCTCTCTGATTGACCAGGCCCTGCACGGCGTGACCAACTACTCCTGGACCAACCACGGTGGCCCTGATGTTTTCTTCGGTGGCGGTGCTGAGCAGTTCCTCCCCGGTACCGGTTCTTACCAGGGCAAGGACTACTATGCCGAGTTCGCCAAGAAGGGCTACAGCGTCAGCACTGACAAGAAGTCCCTCCTCGCCGCCGACAACAACAAGAAGGCTCTTGGTGTCTTCTGCCAGGGTGTCATGCCCGTCTGGCTGGACCGCAACGTCTACACTGACAACCTCAAGAGCTTCAAGAACGACCCCAAGGGTGGAAAGGGCCCTGCTCTTGACCTGCCCGGCCTCAAGGAGATGACCCTTAAGGCTGTTGATATCCTGCACAAGCGCGGTGGCAAGGAGGGTTTCTTCCTGATGTCCGAGGCTGCCTCTATCGACAAACAGATGCACGTCCTTGACTACGACCGTGCTCTGGGTGATCTTTTGGAGCTCGACGACACCGTCCGCGCTACCATTGACAAGCTCAAGAAGCTGGGCATCTATGATGAGACACTGGTCATCGTCTCTGCTGACCACGGTCACGGCTTTGAGTATGTTTCCCACCCTTTTATTCCTCGCCCCCCCTCTTCCACTGTTATATGGTTTGACTAACCGCTAACACGTTGGAACTCACAGTGTCTTTGGCTCTGCCGATACCGAATACCTCACCGCCCAGAAGGACGAGCGTGCCAAGCGCAACGCCATCGGTGTCTACGAGAAGTCTGGCCTCTCCCAGTACACCAAGAAGGACGGCAAGATCAGCTACGGCACTGGCGTCAACTTCCCCACCAACTGGGAGCCTCGCTACGCCATTGCCGGTGGTGTCGGTGCTGCCCCTGACCACCGCGAGAACTACAAGGTCCACAAGAACGGCCCTCGCCTGCCCGCCGTCGCCATGGGCAGCGAGTACTATGTCAACCCCGAGGACGGCGTCGACGGTATCGTCATCAACGGAACCATCCCCACCTCTGAGGCCCAGGGTGTCCACTCCCTGACTGACGTGCCCGTCTTTGCTCTCGGCCCTTGCCAGGAGACTTTTGGCGGTACCTACAACAACGTCGATATCTTCTACAAGATTGCCAATTGCTTGGGTCTGGCCGTTGGCAAGAAGAACTGCTAGACAATGTCTAGTGGGGTGATTTAAAGGGTATATAGGAATGAAAGCGTGTTACGATGTGCTGTATTTAATTTTACGTTTAAAAAAAAGAGCTAATATATCTTAATCGAATTTTGCAATTGCAATTGTATTGCTTAAAGTGTCTCATGTAACCGTATCTAATCTGTCTGAGCCAGTACATCGTATGCCCTGAAGGCCATCAAATCTATCTCTGGCGACGTTGCCATCTTTTGTTCTTGTCGATATATGTTTATATTTATGTCAAAAACGCCGCACCCCTGTTGCCAAATCAATGAAGTAGTGAAGTCGATATGCGCTCCGCCATGCCGATAAAAAGAGAGAGAGAAGAAGAAAATAGCAACGAAGAAAAATGTAATAAGAGCAACTGAAGTCAACTCCTGATATTTCGAGGGTTATATTCGTGAGCGTGTGCAACCCGAGAGAGAGATTCTTTTGCTTGAAAAAAAGGACGTATTCCCACTCTTTACTTGTAAAGGTGAGCATAGTGTTTGCGCCAATGGTCAGCCGGAGACTTCTAGTCGGGCCTTGTGGCGTTCATCACAGAAACAATTGCTGTCAATTCGCGTCCATTGAGCTCCTCAACGCGGCGGCCGTCCTTGTCGACCTTGTTGGCCAGCGAGGCGGTGTGCATCCAGACACTCTTAGTGCCGTGGACGGAGAGCCGGGCCACGGAGTCGCGCACGTTGCCGCGGCGGACGCCGCCGCCGGCGATGACCTGCAGGCTGCCGGGGGCGGCGCGGTGGCAGATTGCGTCGAGCTTCTCGAGGTTCTCGTGGCAGTTGCCGAGGCCGCCCGAGGTCAGGACGCCGTCGAAGCCGCAGCGGACAAGGATGTCGATGCCCTTTGCCCAGCGCTCGCCGGCGGCGATGGGGTCGAAGGCGCGGTGGAAGATGCAGGGGAAGGGGCGGGCGGCGTCGATGAGGAGTTTGCAGCGCTCCTCGTCGATGGTGTACTTGAATTCTGGGTACTTTGCAAGGGTAGAGGCTTTGGTCTGACGCTTGAGGATGCCAAAAACGAAGCCGTCGCCGCGGATGGGGTTGAGAACTCTAGTGGCCTTGAAGTCGTGGATGGCTTGCAGCATGAGAGCAATCTCGTCGTCGGTGTAGATGAAGTCTTGGAGCAGGTGATCTTGATCCAGGTCCTGGTCCTGTTCCAAGTCCAGATCCTGATTTTGGACTTCCTTTTGCTCCTGCTCCTGCTCTTGCCCTGCCTGCGGGATGGGAAGGCGAGGCGGGCCACGAGGGCGAATCATGATGCGGACGGGAATTTCAAGCTGCGAGGCAATCGAGGTCAGCTCCTTGACGGGGGGCGTAAGGCCGCCTTCTTCGTACGAGCCTGGAGCATTGATTTCGATGCGTTTGGCGCCCAGGTCCTGAGCCTCAAGGCCAGAGGCGCCGCTGAAGACTGCGACTTCGCAGTTGAGCCGGGTTGGCTGTCCGAGATCTATTGGGGTAGGCATTGTGGTGTGTGTTTGATAAGGAAGATGTGCCTAGTTGAGAGCTAGAGATGTATGTGTGCGTATTTGGCTGGTTGAGGCTTAGCAATGAAGCTCCGATTTAAGGAGATGGGGGAGTTTGTTGAGAGGGGCTAAGGAAGTTTTGGGGGATAGAAGTATCGCTTGCCTTTGTAAGAAGAAGAGAGAAGCGGTTAAATAGGCAGCGTCATCTCATACTGCAGCTTTGCTTTGATGAAACACGGTTATAGATTGAACGTTTGGGCGGTTCAAAACAAGAATGCGAGATCAATAGGAAGAATGATTGTGCTGCCCAGCTATTGTAGTTATTGGTGAGGGCGGATTTGGATGTTCAATGAAGAGGAAGGAAAGGTGGGGGGTTTGAGTTGATGATGAGGCGGGGGAGGGGCACGGCTTATCAGATAAGAAATTTTGCGCGGGAAGAAAGAAAGATGCTGGAGTAGATTTGCCAAGGACTGGCATATCGTAAGGCTAATCGTTGAAGTTTTTTCAATCTTACAGGGAAATTGGTGTTGATGGGATTTGATACTGTGTTGGATACGGTCGGTAGAAGAGAGATGCAACTAATAGGTGGCTGCATCCCGCAATGCTCCGTCCGAGCTTTTGTCTACACACTCCATGTCCTGCAGCTTTCCGCATACCAGCAACATATTCTACCTAGGTGCCTACCTATTGATGTCCACGGGTGCCTGATATAATATCATACCGCATCGAATGTAGTAATAGTTTTCATCATTCAACAAAATCTCAACATCCATATCGAAAAAGAAAAAAAAGAACGGAAAAGAAGGCCTCGGGGTGGCGTTCTCGGCTCGCCGTATCTAGGGCAAGCTATCTGTGTAAGGTAGGCATACTCCGTAGATTCTGGCCCCTTCTCTTCTCCTCTCCCAATTTCATGCATTTCAACTCCCATCTGCCCCTCGAGTGGAGCGCAGTGCTATGCAATGCCACGACAGGGAAAACTATCGGTGACCTGCTCCTCCCATACAAATTGTGTGTCCTCGTCGAGTACCGCTCAACAAAAACTCTTCTCGTCCCTCCCATCTCAATTTTTTTTAGGCTGCCTTCCAGTGGACCCTCCGCTGCAAGAGCTTCGAGTCAGTGGACCCGTCACCAAGCTCCAGCGGGCTTAGTGCTCCCTGGTTTTGCCGTTTCGGGCGGAGTCGATGCCGTGCTAGGCAAGGCACCGCTACGCAAAATGAGCTCCATCCACTCACACCCAGACAAATCTGCAAGCTCTTTCGACGTCCATCTTTTTTTTTTCTCTGGCAAGCTGTAGGTACTCCGTAGGTACTGTACTCCTCTCTGCATTGCTTTTGTTTCACTCCAGAGCGAGCAGAGAAAATTTTCTCCGTACCCCATCAGCCTGACCAGACGTCATATCGTCGGTACCTGGTTCCACCATAGGTACCATACCTAGGTATAAAGCAGTGCTCAGCTCCCCCTCCCTCCCAAAACTTACATCCGTCAAACCACGTCTTTTATTGTCGCAACACAAGACACAACCATCTACCGTCGCCATGTCTGCCGAGAACATTGACAACAACATCTCCTACGAGATCCTGGAGGACCTCGAGGATGATTTCGAGGAGGTTGAGCTCGAGCTCCGTAAGTCACCCCTGCGCCAGCCATTGTTCCCATACACAATCCTGCCCGTTTCCTCTCTTCACTTTGGCGACGAGCTGTTGAGTAGACGTGGCTACGATGCTGCTGCTGCTGCTGCTGCTGCCATCTCGAGCGGCAAGAGGGCTAGCAGGCTAGCCTGTTGTTCAGTTCACCACTCGCTCGGCGTACAAAGAAGAGTGAAACATTTGAGGGCTCCATTGTTCATTCATTCTATTCGTTCAATTAGCCCACAAGCTAACACAAACCCCGCTTCACAGTCCGCCAGCAGGCCAAGCTCACCAAGGATCTGTACGCCAAGCGTGCCAAGGTCGTCTCTGAGATCCCCAACTTCTGGCCCCTCGTCTTCGAGCAGGCCCCTCCGGATATCGATGAGTATGTCCAGCCCACCGACTCAGCTGTCCTCCTGAGCTCCCTGGTCAACCTGTCCGTGGAGCGCTTTGAGCTGCCCAACGGCGACCCCCGCAGCATCTCCATCAAGTTCGAGTTCAGCGAGAACGAGTACTTTGAGAACACGGTTCTCGAGAAGAAGTTCTGGTGGCGCCGCAACAAGGATGGCTGGGCGGGCCTCGTCAGTGAGCCTGTCAAGATCAACTGGAAGGCCGACAAGGACCTGACCAGCGGCATGCTGGACCTCGTTTACCAGGTCTGGGAGGACGACAAGGCCGGCAAGGGTGACGACACCGAGGCCAAGAAGAAGCTCAAGAGCCAGATGGAGAGCACCGGCCTCGACGGCGTCAGCTTCTTCGCCTGGTTTGGCTTCCGCGGCCTGAGCATCTCTGAGGAGGAGAACCAGGCTGCCCTCAAGGAGGAGCAGGAGAAGCGCCAGGCCCGTAAGGAGGGCAAGGAGGTCGAGGAGGAGGTCGAGGAGGAGGACGAGGATGATGATGATGACGAGTACGAGATGGAGATCTTCCCCACCGCCGACGACCTTGCCGTCTGCATCGCCGAGGATCTCTGGCCCGGCGCCATCAAGTACTTCTGTGAGTACATTCACGCCTCTGACAATTCATCGGAGGAATCAGAGGATGCATGAACAGCAGCGCTAAGACAACCTCAATAGTGGCGGCCCAAGAGCAGGATGCCCTGAGCGACATCAACTTTGAGTCTGACGAAGAGATGGACGACGAGGACGATGCCCAGCCCTCCAAGAAGCGCAAGGCTTAAGCGTACTCATGATTTAACGATTTCCTTTTTGAGTTTCTTTTTGGATTTCTGTTTTCCCCTCTCTAGTTTGATCAAGCCAGGCCATATACTCGTATATACATATACATATACAGCCGCTTGGGCACGGGATGGATGTAAAAAAAAGTTGATAACGATGATGATGATGGGAAAGGGTTTTTAAAAATAAGGGAGCTCAGACAATGAGCATGATGGCTTTTTATATAGAATCAGACTGGGCGGACAATGATATCACACACACATACCCCCCAATTTTTGGTCTTGAATCTCGTGATTTGCACGTCGATGTTGGTGTTGATGATGATGTGAATTATATATGACTGTTTAAGTTTTATGTTTATTTACATTGTTTTGTCCTCCTGGCTGGTGGTTGAGGATCACGGCTAGTACCGTTTGGCATCGGATCAAAGTTGCTGCCCATCCATGATATGATGTAAACGTGACACTGAAGCCCCTCTCCAACTCGCCTCGGCCTTTGTCATTATTCCCATTTCTCTCCAAATTCGACGTGTCCTTTGCCATCGATTCGGAGTAATTCCTGAGCGACGAAGCCCCCCTCATTTTTGCATTTGGACCAATCCGCTGCCCAGCCATGCCGTACTAACTCCTTTGCCAGACAAAAGGCCCGTCATCGACGCTCTGAATGTATGTCAGCCTCTGCACACGAATTTGTCAGCCTTGGGAGATGCAACCTCTATACATTGGACTTGCTGTATCGAAACGTTGAATGTCTGTGATTGGATGGCTGTTGATGGAGGCACGTGGCGGGTGATGCAATGATATAGCTATAATTATTGTGTCAGGTTGCCTCTATTTTGACACCATGACACTTAATCCATCTTCACTGCTATCGAGAGCGCGACCAGCTGTTTTGCATCTGCAATTCACCAAACACCATACGATACGATCAATTCGACACCGCCAAATCATTTTATTCAATCCAATCCGAATTCGCCCTGCTTCAAGTATGGCGACGCCATGGCAGATTCGCGTTCCCGTCACTGACACGGGCCTGTTGAAATGGGCGCAGACCGACGAGGCTGCCGCAAAGGTCTCTGAGCTTTTGCAAAAGGATCTTGAAGTAGGCTTCTCTCCCAAGTCTTGACCCAACAATAGTGTCTAATTCGTGTGACAGAGCCACCATGTATTCTTCAACGCGGAGGGCTTTCATAATCATGTATGCTCTACAGTTGGGTTCATGAAATATTTCCGCTTTGGTCCATCTTTTAGATGAGATGTCATCCATTATCCCATGGCTTCAATTCAGCTAAGAGAAGCGCCAACTAGATTGTCCATCTCCTACTCTCTCTCTACGCCACCGGTGCCTCTGCCAGCGTCCTCGAGCAGGCTTACGAAGAAAACCACTCTTATCAAATCAAGGCCATGAATACTCGCCCTGATGTGGTTGAGGAGCTTAAGAGCGGGTGGTCAGCAGACTGTCCGTACCTCGGAAAGGGAAAGCACTATCCCGATTTTCTCAAATTCTTTCAGGATGAGATTGAGGAAAAGGGGTGGGAGAAGGTCTTGCTGGAGTATGTTTTTAAAGGAGATGAGAGGAGCGAGACCATCTTCGGTCGCCTCTTTGCTGGTATGTGTCTATATGTTTTTTTTTTCCCTACCTGTTGCTTCGTTGATAAGTATTATATGACCCAAGTGGCTAAATACAATACATTTGCTAACGTAACCTGATCAAGGATTCTTACATCCCCTTATCCAGCTCATGTACGGCATCGAATGGCGCCAACCTGCCATCATCGCCGAGGGCCTCGCCCAAGCCGCCGTCCACGAAAACCGCGTAGGCGTATTCCTCACCAAAGTCGAGCAAGCCGCCCACTCTCAACCTCAGTCAGCCTCGAAAACCCCCCTGCCCAAGCTCTTCGAGTCCGTCGGGCAGTTCAGCGAAAAGCTCGCCACGAGTGCTCGATACGGGGATGCGAACAAGGTGTACGACGGCGTCTTTGTGCGTGCCCCTGACGAAGCGCTCGAGTTTTTGAAGCAGGTCAGGGTTCGGGAGGATGAGCTTGACGAGAGATTGGCCGAGATGGCTCATTCGTGCGCGTATGTCGCTACCACGGCGGCGTTCCATCCGCCAAACGTCCCCAAGCTCGACTTTTTCTTAATGTAAGCCCTGTATCCCATCACTCAAAGCTGTAATATGTCTGCTCTGCTTACAGACATTCCTAGTCATCACCTCAACTCGTCGCCCTTTTTCGTCACGCTTCTCTCCTTCCCCTGGCTCCCACCCTCTCAAAAGGCTCGCATGCTCGAATGGAAAATCCGCCTCGATCTCGTCCAGTACATCGCCCGAGGGTGTCCACCGCTTCGCCTCGACGCCCTCAAGTCGTTTACTCCACAAAACGACTCAGAGACTCCTGTGACGAAGCCGGAGGACCTGCTTCCGCGATTTCACGACATTCTCGACGATGGACATACCATCAAAGTCGTCCGCGCGCTGTTTATCGCGAAGGAGTTATCCAGAAAGTTTGCTGATAGGCCGTGGATCCGTATAGTGGATGACGAGACGTGGTTGAAGATGCATCAGGTCTTGTTGCAGAGCACAGAAGGGCCGCAGGAACCTTCCATGTGGGTGAGATCCGCTGGATTCGATGATGCGTGGCAGAATGTGCCCAAGGCGGCTGATGGGAAATTGTAAGTCTTTGGAGTCGACAACACTGTAGTGAGACTTGAGGATTTTGTTCATTTTTGTGTATTTCTTTTTTTAAGCTCTAATGTAAATAAAACCCATGTTTGCTCCCTATTCAAGAAATTTCAAGTTTAATCCATGCCCATCCACTCATCCTCGCCATCGTCATCAGACTCGCCGCCCGACCCTGCCGTGCCATTCATGATGGTGTCGATCGTCTTCTGCTGCGCGCTGGTCAAGTACACATCGTCATTACCGCTCTTGTCGTCCTTATTATCAGCCTGGCCCAACAAATAGTCAACCATGTACACGTTCTCATCGGCCAGTCTCCTAATCTCATCCCTCATCTTCACAACCGCACGCGAGACCACGCGCAGCTCAACGTCCACCTTTCCGCGGTTCGCCGTCAGCCAAGCGCCGTGCTTGTCAACCAGCGCTTTGATCCACAACAAGCAGAACTCGATGTGCGGAGATTCCTCCGTCTGAGCGGCGACAAAGCGGAGTAGTCTCGGGACATAGACGATGGGCAGATCGGCGACGACCAGGGGGATGTCGGCCGGGGGCACAGCCTGAAAGACTCTCTTGATGAGGCCGGCTTCGTTGAGTCGGAATGCCATGACCAGCGCCTTGAGGTAGTCCTTTTCATTCTCCATCACGGCCAACGTCGAAGCAGGCGTAATCTCAATGTTGAGATCAAACGGATCAAACTGCAGCGTATGGTCCAAGCTGTAAATGAGCAGGCCCTCCGTCGAAGCAGCGCAAAACGCGGTACCGGCAGGCGAGAAGGCGACTCCCGTAACCCGAACCTCGGGCCTTTGCTTCCTCGCCGAGGGATCGCCGCCACGCTTCGACCCAGGCAGGCTCGCGTCGAAGCGGTCCTCGCGGTCGGATGCCTCTCCCTGCATGTCGATTTCTCCCATGGGGCCGGCCTCGGTCAGGAACTTGCTGTTGAGGAACTCTTGCGTTCCAGATAGAGACAGGTTTACGCTGACGGTAAACTTCTTGAGCAGTACCATGGTGGAGACAGAGTAGAGGCAGATGTATTTGCTGTTACCACCAGCCAGGAGACAGCTTCCGTCGGTGCTGTATCGGATCGTGCTGAAACTCTTGTTGCCACCGATGTTGGCGGCAGTTCTCCTGTCTGACATTTTTCGTCCTCCAGATACGTCACGGCGCCCGTCAAGACCCGCCGTCTGCTCAGCTTCTGACACTGACCAAAAGGTCAGCTGGCCGTCAATTGTGGAAACTGCCAGCTGAAGGGAATCGGGTCGAACAGCAATGTCGAGAATATCTGCCTGCAGCTGCAACGGCTCGCTCGTTTGCGTCCTGTTGAAGATGGACCATATCCGCGCCGTCCTGTCCCAGCTTCCGCTCACCAAGGAGTTGCCATTTGGCGTGAAAGCCAACGCGGACACAGGGCCCTCGTGACCGGCCAGCCGATCAAGCAGTTGGCCAGTCTGCACCGACCAGATGTGAATGTCAAAGGAATCCAACGATCCTGCAGCTACTACTTCGCCGCTGGGGTCAACAGCCATGCTGGTAAAGGAAAGCCTTGTTGGGGCTGTGAAAGTACGGAAATTTCGATATCTGATGAGATCCCAGGCTCTGACAGAGCCATCAAGACTGGATGTAAATAGAACATTTCCCTTTTTGGCAAACTCACAAGCAGTGACGCCGCTGGTGTGCTCCGTGAATGTGACAATACAGAAACCAGACTCAATATCCCACACCTTGATCTTACCATCATCAGCAGTAGTGATGATTCGCTGACCATCCGGTGAGTAAACCACAGAGTTTATTGAATCGAAATGGCCCTGCTGTTTGAGGATGTAAGACTCCGACTGCCACTCCCAGACCAACAGCTGCCCCAGCTTTGAAGCACCAAAGGCCAGCCACTCTCCGCTCTGGTTGATTGTGACAAAGTCAACGTCGCTCTGAGAAATACTCAATTTGTGAATGTTGTTGAAGTCGGGCATTTCGTAGAGGCTGAACAAGCCGTTGGATAGACCGGCCACTAAGAGATTCGTTTGTGCGTGGAAAAAGGCACATCGTACATGTGCGCTACCTTGCATGAAGTAGTGTCTCTCGACAATTCGCCATCTCATGTCCGATTCATCATCGCTGTCATCCTCATCCTCCATACGGTCGTCATCCTTTGATGAGTTGAGCGGTTTGACGTATTTCCAGCTAAAGACTGCACCATCTTTGCTGACTGTGTAAATTGTTTCCTGGTCACCGGAAAACCATGCACCAATGACGGTTTGCTTATGGCCACCCAGGACGGTAGGGATGAATCCTTCTTCGGCCTCCACACTCCATATCCTCGCCGTCAAATCCTTGGAAGCTGTCAAGAAAAATCGAGAGTCGCTGGACCACTCGATATGCTGGACCGAGTCAAAGTGGCCGGTAAGGGTGCGGCGCTTTATAAAGGGAGCAAATTCAAGCTCGCCGTCGGCATTGGTGTCCGGGGTTGAAGGCACATGCCAGACTTCGACTTTGCGTCCCAATCCCACCACAAAGTATCTGCCTGAAGGCGAGAACGAGAGCGCTGTGACCTGCGTCCGGAAGGAGAAGTGGTAGATGGACACGCGGCGAGGAACGTTGGTCAGGATCGCATGGCCGTCTTCGTCAACGGTGAGGAGGAGGTTTCCGCGAGGGGAGAGGCCGATTCGAACGATGTTCTTGCGATGTGCGAATGGTAGGGTATGGGACTTGTTGCTGTTGCATCGAATTAGCCATCCAGCTTCGTCTTGTCGCAGAGGCCTGCATTGCCATGATGCGCCGGCATGACATACTCTACCAAGTTGAACACAGTCACGCGGTTGCCGACGGGTGAGAAGAGATGGGTGCCATCTGGACTGAAAACCAAGTTGCCTTGGCAGTAGACAGTGCCCAGCAAGTTGGAAAACTATGAAGAACTCGAGGTTAGCCGTTGATCCTGTATCACTCTGGGGATAGCAGATGTGAATTGTGTGTGATGGGCAATTGAACGGTGATAGGATGGTGTGAGCAGTCGAAATCAAGTCCTCGCCATACCCTAAAATCGGTCTTCATTGTCGACCACTTGCCATGATCATGAAGAAACTATACTGAGAGATGAAGCTCTGATATGTTCTGCCGCCAGTCGCATCAAAAAAAACGAGCTGCGCTTTCTTATCGATACGGGCCTTTTTTCAATTTTTTTCCTTTGCCGTTAATAAGTCGGCAGATACTTTATTCCGCTCCTAGGATCTAAGCCTAAAGTGGGACGACTACTCCGTACACCACGAACAATCGTACTAATGCTGGGAACGCACTGGCCATCTCATCTAATCTGGAGTCGGCAGGTAGCCTGTACCTGCCGCTGCACCGGCAGCAGCACAGCGAGCAGTGGAAACGCAATGTACCCAGAACTTTGCCTAGTGCTCTCACTTCCAACCTGTTCATGCTCCAAACAAACGAGGCAAGCACCGAAAAAAAAGGAGTCCGACCAGCGTTGCTCCTGCTCTGCCTATCCCTCCCCAGTCGTACCAGCTCGCTAAACCCAATCCGCCATCCAGCCTATCAGCACCCAGCAGCCCCTGGGCAATTCGCCAGAGTGGAAAATTGGGGGATACGACCGCCTCAACCCCTTCTATCCCCTGAAAGTTCAAGCTCAGGAAGTGCGAACCTCCACTTTGTTTTGTTTGACCAGAGCCAACGGCCACCTGATATCTTCCTCCTGTCTCTGATTTTTGCTTCCATCCGTAGCCATCGTCTGCTACCGCCCTCTCGCTCGTTCGCCCCCAAGCTCCCCAAGACCTCATCCGTAGCCCCTCCACGTGTGCAAGATGGCTCCCGCAGCTGCTGAGAGCGCCTCACCGATTGGCATTGCCAATCTGCCCAACCAGCGACACAAGATTGTCGCGAAGCGTGGAGCTAGCTTCACCATCATGGTACGCAATTGCCCTCGAGATTTGCAAGTTGCAAACGCGTCTGCGGCGTGACGAGCTCTCTCTCTCTCTTGTACGACAACTAACACGCATGCTTTTCGTACTCTTAGGTTGCTGGCGAGTCTGGTCTGGGCAAGACGACCTTCATCAACACCCTCTTCTCCACGACCATCAAGAACTACGCCGACCACAAGCGCCGACACCAGAAGCAGGTCGACAAGACGGTCGAGATTGAAATCACCAAGGCCGAGCTCGAGGAGAAGTTCTTCAAGGGTAAGGGATAGCTGCCTAAACGAGGTGTGACTGATGGAAGAGACAACGTGCTAAGCCTGATTTTTGTGACGCTCTCTAGTTCGATTGACTGTCATTGACACTCCTGGATTCGGTGACTATGTCAACAACCGCGACTCTTGGCAACCCATCATCGAGTTCCTCGACGACCAGCACGAGTCTTACATGCTCCAGGAGCAGCAGCCGCGCCGCCAGGACAAGATCGACCTCCGTGTCCATGCTTGCCTGTACTTCATCCGCCCTACCGGCCACACCCTGAAGCCCTTGGATATCGAGGTCATGAAGCGCCTCTGCTCACGAGTCAACCTGATCCCTGTCATTGCCAAGGCTGATACTCTCAGCCCCGCCGATCTGGCCAAGTTCAAGCAGAGGGTATGATGAAGCAAACCACGCATGTTTCGCACGTCCACTGTTGCTAACCAATTGCAGATTGTCAGCGTCATCGAGGCCCAGAACATCAAGATCTACCAGCCCCCTATTGAGGAGGATGACGAGGCTGCCGCCCAGCACGCGCGTAGCCTTATGGCTGCTATGCCGTTTGCCGTCATCGGATCCGAGAAGGATGTCAAGACCAGCGATGGTCGCATCGTCAAGGGCCGCCAGTACTCTTGGGGTGTTGCCGAGGTCGAGAACGAGGACCACTGTGACTTCAAGAAGCTGCGATCCATCCTGATCCGCACTCACATGCTCGACCTCATCCACACCACTGAGGAGCTGCACTACGAGGCCTACCGAGCACAGCAGATGGAGACTCGCAAGTTTGGCGAGGCCCGACCCCGGAAGCTCGACAACCCCAAGTTCAAGGAGGAGGAGGAGGCTCTGCGGAAGCGATTCACTGAGCAGGTCAAGGTCGAGGAGCAGCGCTTCCGACAATGGGAACAGAAGCTCATTGCTGAGCGTGATCGTCTCAATAAGGATCTCGAGCAGACCCATGCCCAGATCAAGCAGCTGGAGAACGAGCTTGAGGCTATGCAGGGAGGTGCCGTCCGAAGCCACGGCCGCCGATAAATTATTCGTAATGGTGACTTGGTTCTATCACGCAAAGCTGGCGTTGGAGTGTCATGACATCGGGTTTTCTCGGTCCACCTCGCTTCCGGCTACAGACCCGGGCCTGAAAGAGGTCGAACATGCATATTTCTAATCAGCTATTGCTACGGGAGGGAAAGATCTTTTTTGATGAGTTGTCGAGGCGAAGGCTCCGTCTTCCTTTATTTTTTTTTATGTCTCGTTCGGTTCTTGTGCCGGAACTGTCGCGGTAGTGGGCTTGACGGTGGATTCAAAGCAACATGTGATGGCCGTTGCCCAAAATCAGCAAGTAGGGGGGAGTGCTGGAAGTTTTGATAATGTAGCCCTATTTTATTCCTCTTTTATTTGAGCACTCCCATTTCAGTTAGGTACATTTTCTAGTCTTATGTAATTGAGTCAGTTGAGATACCAGTTTAATAAGGCCACATGATGCGCATTAAGTAGTATAGGGAATCTTAGGAGTGACTAGCATTTCATCAACGTTGTTGGATTCTGGTGGTGAACCAAATGCAAGAAAACGAAAAGAGGAATCAATGACAATGCATAACACCAAGCCAAACTCCTTGCCAACTCTGACAGAATAGGCATATCCCATCATACCTTAGTCGAAAACAAAACCCACGTTAAATATAAAAAAAAAACACTTGGAAATCCTGATTGCCTGCTTAGACGCCCCTTCCGTCCCCCTTCATGTCCCAAAATCACATCTGTCAAGACTAGAAACAAATGACTAAACAGCGTCCATGCTAGCTCTTGTCGTGAGCTGCTCATTCTTATTCCCCAATCTCGAAATCTGCAGAAAGGCATCGACGCCATACCCCTCTAAGCTGTGCAGGTTCAGCGAGCCAGCCCAGTACTCAGCATACACGCGACTCAGGGGGAGGCCCATGCCGAGCCGCAGATTGGGGGGCCGGCTAGTGAGAGTTGAAAGCGAGCCCAGGTACGTAGGCGCCTTAAGGTCAGCCCGACCGAGCTCGTCGGTGACATGGAGCTCCTGCATGGTAGCAGCCATGCGGGGAACCTGGCCGAGGTTCTCGAGGCGCTTCTGGCTCTGGGGGCCTTTGCTGAATGACCAGAGATACGGCAGCTCCTCACGGGGGATGCCGCCACCACGATCAGATATTCGGATGATGACGTGTTCCTGCGCCTCGCAGATTGTGACTTCGATGGGTGGGGGAGGAGAGGAGGCGTGATCGGGGTGTTGCTGATGGCGGTCGATGACAGCCTGGACGGAGTTGCGCAGGAGCTCACCGACAATGTACTCGAGGTGGCTGAGTATGTAGGGGAAGCTGGCGTTGAGGTGGCCATCGATTTTCACTTCGGGTACCTGTACTTGAGGGCCGTTTGTGGAGCGGGCCAGATGAGTGACGGCTTTTGCGCAGCGGCTGATGACATCCTTGGCAAAGCATTTTATGAATACTTCGCCTATAAAGTCGGACTCGGAGAGCGTAGCGCCGGGAGAGAAGTAGGGGGAGTTGAAAGTCTCTGTAAGGGAGAGGTGCTGCTCCGCGATGACTCGTCGAGAGATGCGCTACGTGGCTTGCAGTGAGCTTTCCGTTGTCATTGCAGTTGATTGGCAGAAATGGCGGTGGTAGCAATGCTAAAAACTTACCGATCGAAGAATGACATTCATGAAGTGATCCAGCTCTTTGGGGTCCATCAGGCGGCCGCACTCGAGAATGCCCATGGCGAGCTTGGGGATGACGGTTAGGTGACCCTTTAGGTTCTGGCTGATGACCTCGCAGAACTTTTCATTGTCCTCCAAAGTTTTGATTTCCTTGAATTTGCGAAAAGTGTCAAATGCCTTGTAATAGAGCTGGTAGACTTCCTCGATGTGTGGATTTGTTACAACAACGTAGGGGAGCTTCTGCATGTCGCGGATCCGATGCGCAATTCTGTAAATGCGTCCCTCAGTTAGCAACTTGCAGCCGGCAAAAAAGCAAGCATGCTGGCGTACCTGACTGGGAGTTCAGTTCGAACGTAATTTGCAGAGCTTATAAGTCGCGACTCGGTCAGGGAGCGGCCAAAGACCATCAGCTGGCGCAAGCTGATGGGGCGCGCCTCTTTGGCAACCCATCTACACGAGAGATGACAGCGTTAGCGCATGCGCTCGCTTGGAAAGAGAGAATCATGCAGATGTAAGAGAAGGAATAAAAGAGCGGGATGGGCTATGAAGAAACGAGGTAGACAATAGATGCAATGATGGGTTGAGCATACTCGTCCAACACAGAAACCGGGCGCCACGTGCCGTTGCTGGTTCCTGCCTGGGCCGCATTTCGCTTCTGAATCTTTGCAAGAGGAGACGGCGTTATCAATGTCGGTCGAGAGATCGCTTTACTGAGGGTCGAGTAGGCAAACGGTCGACATCGTTTGCCGTGGCAGCGCAGCGCTACGGAGAACATGCCCACGGTTCCATGCAGCACAGAGGGATCGAGAGGTGAAGCTAGTGAAGCTGGTGACGATACTGGACGGCGCTTCTAGTATCGTGTCGCGTGCGAACAATGAGCGGTGCAGCGTGGAAAAGAAGCGGAACAAAAGCGAAAAAGGAAACGAGACGAAGAGACGAAAAGTTAAGAATCGGCTGATCAGTCGGGAGGGGAATTGAAGCGCTTGGTCTTACTTCTCGTCGACTCGAGCAGGGCAAATGGCTTTTAATCAAGGCAGCTCCGAGGCATGTGCCGGTAGATCTGGTGCTTAAGGTTTGGTCAGCCTGAAGCCTGGCAAAAACGCCCCACAGGCTGCGGTATCGGCTTACTCCGAATGGCAGCTTGTTCCCTCCCAATCCAATGCAGACGGATGAATCACTGGTCAGGATTCAGGCGACAG